TAAATATTCTTGGCTGGAATTGGAGAGGAAGAAAAATGAAGGCCCATTGATAAGGCAGGGGCTCCTGTAATACACCAAGAGCATGAACATCAGGTGACCTGGAGTCAGATGTACTGAACGTTCTCTCCATCATCTCATTGATTAGCCTTGAAGTCACAGAACCTGTTACATCAGTCTGAGAAGTAAAGAGGGCAGTATTTTTTTTTACCATAAATAATTGTTAAAAATTAATAACATTAACACACAATAATTTCAAATAAAATTCTAGGGTAATTAGGATGGCCATACATCCTGTTTGTCCAGGATTGTCCCAGTTCATTTGTACCAAAACAAGTATCAATAGCAGATAAATTATAGTGGATTTCAGGGACTTTGTGGAATGAGTATTTAGAAAACCACATTCTCAGTGTCCAAACCTAGAGCTGAAACTGCAGGTACCCAGCAGCTGTGGCTCCTCATGAGCGGTCATGGAAGGGGTGTCTGTGTACCGTGGCCATGCTTTCTTCCTTTAAGAGCCTTCATTTTTCTGCAAACTGGATCTTTCTTTGGCCAGGTGGCTTTTCTGAGATGATGGGAATTCAGTGCAGGGTATTTGTTCCTTTATAACAAAGTTAAGATTTTAGTTTGAAACTCTCATTCTCTTATTTTTCTACCTTTCTATAATGTGCTTTGACTACATAAAATATTTGTTACCGAAGAAGTCAGCTGTTGTTAATATTGTAGCTCTGTATCACCTATCTGTCCATCACTGATCACATTGTAACCGGGTAAACAAGGCACTGCTCACTCCTGGGAACCCTTGGGAACATTCATGTAACTGTGTTGTAGAGATTGAACACTTTGAAGTCATGATATTTCACTGTGATGAAATTTTACTTGATATTCAGTTACATATTTTTGTCACTTTTATTTCTTTCAGTAAACTAAATTTCTTGTATTACTTAATCTACTTTAACTCTTATTTTCCTGAAGCAGTGTTACATTCCTCTTTATAATCATTGTTTTCTCAGTTTGCTTTAAAATACCTTCTTTACTTTCACCCTAAGAGATAATTGTTATTTGTAGATACAAAGATTTCCACTTAGGCTTTTGAAATTGCTCTAAGTAGCTTTAATATTTCTTCTAGGTATGAAATCGAAGGCTGTGAAGTCATTTGGGTCATTAAAGATAAAGCTATTGGGAATACTTTCTTCGATGCAGGAGCAGCTGAATTCTTGACTTCAAAACTCATTGCTGAAAAATCAGAGGCTAAAATTGCACAAAAAAGAACCAGATATACAACTGAAGGTAAATATAGCATCTAGCTATATTCATTCACAGATGAAACTTAATTTTTTTAACCATATAAAAAAAGGCTGTAAGAAAATTTAGCAAAGTATTTTATTTGGGAGATAGGAATATTTATTTCTATATCCTTATGTGACTTCTTAAGATTTTCTATATATGTGTGTGTGTGTGTGTGTATGTGTATGTATATATGTTTATATATATGATATACTTTTTATGAAAAATGTGTATAACTAAAACTGGAAGTTTAAAGTGAATTAAATAAACCAGCCCATCTACATCTCCACAGACATAAGCTACAATTGGACAATACCTAAGGTAATTTTATAAAAACTGCAGTGAGTTTAAAAACAAATACAGCTTTTTAGTTTTGAAGACCTTTTTTATTTATTTAAACTTTTGGCTTGTAAAATTCAACAAGAATTTTGTAAGTTTTGGGGGTCCTAAAAATTGACAAAATTTTCAAAATTTGATGCCTAATTTTCTCACCCTTCATATTTACCAGTGTATATGATATCCATAAAACACTTTAAATATGTTTATACACAACACTCAGTTGAAAGTTTCACTAAATACAGCAGTGAATTTACCCATTTCATAGCTCTATATCACAGAATATTAAGATAATGAATAAACTGATGAATACAGATAAGTTAATCCTATAGTATGAAAGTGTGTGAATTATTCCATTGCCTAAAAATTTCTGAGCACAAGCATAATTCTCTGCCTGGCAGTTTTTATATCAGTTGAATTTTGAATTGAGTTTCTCTCTTCAGGAAGGAAAAAGGAGGCACAAACCAAAGGCAGTGCCGGTAACATAGGCAGTGCCTTGGGGCCTGATTGGCATGAAGGCTTGAATCTCAAAGGAACGAAGGAGGTATGTTTTCTTATACTGATTGAACATGTCTAAATGCAATTTTAGATTCTCTAACCGTTTGTTAAAGACTGGTTATAAATATATAGTTAAAGAATAAGTTAAAATCTGTGGTGCTGGAAAGGACTTCAGTGCCCGTTGGCCCAGGTGAACTCTGCAGAGCTACAGAGAGCTCCAGACACAGACATAGTGAATACACCTGTCCTGTTTTAAATTAAACTTTTCTCAGTGGTCACTTCAGACACATTATAACATTTTAAAGATTATTAGGTAAGAGTCTAAATAAAATACACATTTAATATTCTGATTGCATAAGCAGATGACATGCTTTTACTCATTTTATTAGTTTTTTTTTATAGTTGTTAAAAGGTGATATTTAAATATTGTAAGAAACATATATTCAGTCCTTACTACTATGTGTCATTTCTTTTCAGCCCTCAGTAGGCTGGAGGGGGGCTGGCTTCACAGCATATCTAATTTCTGTGATGGAAATTACACAAAATCACTTTTTCCTGCACCTTCAGATCCTAAGACTAATAGTATTTTTACCCTGAGAATTTCAGTTTAGTACAATAAACATTTATTGAGAATCTCCTACCTCACTGGCACTTTACTAGGATGCTGGAATATACCAGTCTAGGATATGTCAACTTAATTTTTAAGTCTATAACAGTCATAATTAAAATATATATATATATGTGTGTGTGTAATTATCATACTAAAAACATGCCCGTGTTGCCACCTGCCAATTCAGCTACTAGATCTCGTTAAGCAAGGAATGAGTTTCTGCTCACTCCTTTCACACACACAGATTGAGACGCATTTTTTGGCTATTCAATGTGTTTTCATTTATACTATAAGAATTATCTTTCTGATAATGTTTCTACAAGCATGTTATAAATTTTTTCATCATCATCAGTAACCCAGGTCATTCTTTCTGGAACTGTTATGATGATCAGTATGTCTTTATTTTAGTTTTCTCATAAGATTCACATTGAAACTATGTGTGAAGTGAAGAAAATCTACCTTCAGGAAGAATTTAGAATTTCTAAGAAAAAGTCCTTGACTTTTCCAAGAGACCATCATAATCAGTCAGTCACAGCTGACAAAGGTAAGTGAGGAAATAAAAAAAATAACCTCTTATTTGAAAGGAAGACAACTTAAACTTGCTTTATTATATTAAAAACAACTTCATATTTCCACATAAAACTTAAACATGAAAAAGTAAAAATAAGACTATAATAATGTAAGTCATTTTGCTTTCACTACTTTCTCTTCACATTTTCTAATAAATTAAGTTGTATAGAGCTTAACATTTTGCAATAGGGCTCATTGTTTTGACTGTCATAACCCTGTGAGTAAATCAGAATATCTTGCAGATCAAAACAACACAAAAACTTTAAAAACCCGAGGCTCTCAGACAAAGTGACATGTCCAAAACCAAACAGGTTGAAAAATCTATGAATTTGAACTAAGACACAGATCTCCTAAAATTCCTATTCTACGCTTTTGTGAGAACTAAGGTCATTTGAAGAAATATACTCAACCAAACCTAGTGTGTGAAGTATCCCACTGCTCTGAATTCTTTGAATTTTTTCATAGGAAAAGGGGGAAAGGAGGTGTTAGAGTTTGAATATGAATAATAAGGGGAAAGACTGAAAAGTGAGTAACCAGTTGGACTAAACTGTCAGTGAAGTATAATCTATTAATAAAGATTTTTAAAGAAATAATTTATAAGTTAATTATCAATTTAAATGTATTTTGTTAGCATTTCTGTGTTTAAATTTGAAGAAATGTTTAGAATGCCTGTTACGCTTTTGCAGTTATACCCAAAACAGGGAAATTGCATTGATTGCGTCAAAATGTTTTTAGCAAATGTACTAAAATTATTAAGGAGTGTTGTTTTAAAGTTATCTCCTGCCTTCTTTCTTTGTTCTAGTCATTGTATTCACATAGCTGCTATAGACGGTTGGTGGTAGTTATAGTTGAGAATAAAGTCTTTATTTATTTTTTAAAGAGATATGGCCTGTATATGTGGAGCTGACCAATGGAAAGATATATGGCTGCGATTTCATTGTCAGTGCTACGGGAGTTACACCGAACACAGGACCTTTTCTCTGTGGCAACAATGTAAGGGGAAAGTTTTTGTCCCACTCTCAGTATTTTTCAACTATTCATTATTTATGAAGACCTCTAATTCTCAAGAATGAATAATTATTTATTATTTTAATATAGAACTATAACTTAAAGATGGTTGAAACAATTTAGTTTACATTCATGTCTTGATTTGCAATATTATTATTTTTTTACTGCTTAAGTCCTTAAGCAATTAACATGCCAGCATAAGTGTCATTATTAAGGGGACATAATGCACAATTTATCTAAGTGTTGGTAAGAGACTGATATATCCTTTGAATCCTTAAAAGTTTCCCTTAGAGAAACCATCGTGTATTTTTTACTTTTTAGCATTTGAAGTTTACAGAAACTGAGGAATATTCTTGTAACTATGAGTGGGGTAGTCATATGGTTTTTGGGTATTTTTTTTGTTTTTTGGGGTTTTTTTTTCCAGGGTGGGAGTAATTAGGTTATCTATTTATTTTAATGGAGGTACTAGGGATTGAACCCAGAAACTTGTGCATGCTAATAAGCACGCACTTTGCCACTAAGCTGTACCCTCCTCCCCATCAATGGGTATTTTTGATGTTGAAGTTCTAAGGATTTTGTGGGTTTGTCTTAGTAGGAATTTGATTCCTTGGAAATTCAGCTTAGTTGTCTAAATCTTGCAGCTGTTTTTTCACTTTCCTCACTAAAGATCAGCATGCCGACATGGAGAAATTGGACTTGTTCTTTTACTTTAGAATGAAAAATTCATGTTTCATTTCTCTTATCCCATAAGCTTATGAGGAACACTGTTTAGTTTGATGTAGGAGAAGACGGGGGCCTGAAAGTGAATGATCACATGCACACGTCCCTTCCTGACATCTACGCCGCAGGTGACATCTGCACGGCATCCTGGGAGCCCAGCCCCGTCTGGCAGCAGGTGAGCCAGCACACATGATCACAGGTTTCCATCAGAGATTCCATCTGAAAATAAAGGAGTCACTACCAGCAAATCCAGCTTTCTGGTTTTCCACCTTTTCTAGTTTAAGTAGGAAACTATCAGTTTTTTTGTCACTCAAACAAAACACTAGAATTTTTCCATTTTGGTTGTTATATAGTGATGGAACAGACTGGAAAATCTTTTACTTTAAAAAGAATTATGAGTGGGGGTATAGCTCAGTGGTAGAGTGCGTGCTTAGCACGCACAGTGTCCTGGGTTCAGTCCCCAGTATCTCCAATTAGAAAATAAATAAATAAATAAACCTAATTACCTTTCCCCCCAAAATACAAAGAAAAAATAAAAAATAAATAATTATGACTGTTACTTTTCCAGGCTCAGATACTTATCAGCAGTGTCCAGTCAGGCAGCCACTAGCCACGTGTCTGTCTACTAAGCACTTGAAATGTGGCTAATGTGACTGAGGAACTGAATTTTAATTTTTCTTTAAATAGTTATGTGTCTAGTAGCTAGATTTGGGGGGAAGGTAATTTATTTATTTTTGGAGGAGGTAGTGGGAATTGAACCCAGGACCTTGTGCATGCTAAGCATGTGCTCTACCACTTGAGCTGTACCTTCACCCCTTCTAGTGGCTAGATTTTGAACAACACAGCTTCAGATTAAAAAATAGCCAACAGATTATAAACAATACAAATAAAGGGTTCTGTTCCTGATGATTCTGTTGTCTGTCTGTCCCTGTGGGAATTACTGCTGAAAACATGTTCCCATGGCAACCAGCCTTTCTCAACCTAACAACCCTTCCACCTGGGTCTAGACCAGCCCCTGCCCTCACAGTGCTGCCTGCCTCCTAACGGTGGAGCTGAAGACGAGAGGCCACTACTCAGCGGCCAGAGGTGGGGCTGTCTCAGGAGGAGTGGAGGCAGAGGGACGCGTCACCGGTAAAGGAGCCAGGCGGCACTTGGTGAAAGCCCAGCTCTGCAGTTGGGGGCGCTGGCCATTCAGCCTGCCTGTGGTGTGGGGGGCGGTGGGAGAGCCAGGTACATTTTAACAGGCAGCTTTATTGCTGTGCGTGTACTTTACATCCATCAGAGACAGCTCAGTAATGAGAGTGCTTTCAGCCGTATTTCAAAGATGCTTCAAACCAGCTTGTTCTGTTTTCTCTGCAGTGACATCCTATGTTGTTCTTATGGCCTATCTGTCCCAAACTCAGTTAGGAATTGGAGTTTGTGAGTTTTTTTTCCTTTTTCATTTTTAAAATATTTTAACACTTTAAGGGTTGAATCTAGGAGATGTATAAATAATATCCTTCATGTACCTCATACTCTGATATGGGAAAGAAATGTCCGAAAATAAACAGGTGTTTCTTATTTTGAGGGACTCTAATAAACCCCATCTCTTAATTTGCAGAAGCAGCTATGTACTAGTTAATTTGTTGCCCATTGTCCAAGACACAAACTTAAGGGATTTGGAGGCTGGACTCCATTAGGTGACAGTGCGGCAGTGTCACACCGCAGACCATTTGCGCTCATCACCACAGCCTGCCTGTTCCGCCATCAGACCCATCTTGTTTAGAGAGGAGACTGAATTAGAACAAAAAAGACCATCACTTCTACCGGAATGCTTGAAGCTCATATCCATGATTATGGTACTGTTTTTTGCACACAAGAAAGCATCAATTACACACACATGAGGTTTGAGACTTGTCAAATACCAGAATCAGTTGGTTAGTGTGGACTGGTGATTGCTTTTGTGGCAAAGACAATCCAATCAGTTATCTAACTAGCTAGACCTGACCATTCTCAAGGGCTGTCAAGACACTGAATCGCTTGAAGGAGTTTTACTAGGTTACAGTGATAGGTTTTTCAAGTAACGATACTGAAAATTACGCCGCCTAACATTTTTTATTTCAGATGAGGCTGTGGACCCAGGCCAGACAGATGGGCTGGTACGCGGCGAAGTGCATGGCGGCAGCCAGTGTGGGAGAGTCTGTTGACATGGATTTCAGCTTTGAGCTTTTTGCTCATGTAACAAAATTTTTTAACTTTAAGGTAAGACGGATACGAAACTAGTGCCTTTTTTCTGCTTGTGAGTCTTGAAACTAATTATGGTCATCTAATTTTTTCATGTGAACAAAAACTTACATGGTTTTAGTCACTTTACAAAAAATGACAAATTTCCTCATTTCTTGCAAATCGGTACCCAGTATTACTGCTGGTCTTAATTTCTAATCATCTGATAAGCATTACCTACCTTCTCACTATATGATTTTACAGTTAAGGGGGAAAAATTTCTTGCAGATTCAGTTCCTGTTGGTGCATTTCTGAGTTCTATTTGAGATTCACTCCTCCTTTGTGAAGGGAACTAACAGCCATCATACTTAAGAATGAGCATGGACTTTCCATACATATTTCTTACTTGATCTTCTCTACATTGCTCTGAGGCAGGCTTTTTCTTCCTAATTTACTGATGATAAGAAACACACATACAAACATATACATAAGGTTCAGGGAGATTAAACACTTTGCCCATGAAAGCTGTAAGCCAGTTCCTTGTTAAATCTTTAAATCCTGACTCCATGCTAGTGTGGTCCACATCCTACATATTTCTATATTTACTAGATATTTTTAATACCCATAGAGATTGTGGGGTTGTGTCATCTGTAGATTAAATGCATTACCATACCAACATTTTCTTTGGGACCCTCCCAATGGCACTTTCAGCTGTGAAATTTTGTGAGTAGATCTGCCATTCTAGCAAAACACAAAGTAACTGCGTATTACGTTTCTTTTTTTGTACTCACTAAAACAACTTTTTCATGTTTCTCTATATAGGTTGTATTGCTGGGAAAATACAATGCCCAGGGCTTAGGTTCAGACCATGAATTAATACTGAGGTGCACCAAAGGACAGGAGTATGTCAAAGCCGTCCTGCAGAATGGGCGAATGATGGGAGCCGTCTTAATTGGTGAAACTGATTTAGAAGAAACATTTGAAAACTTAATTTTAAACCAGATGAACCTTTCAGCATATGGAGAAGATCTGCTAGATCCAAATATTGATATAGAAGATTATTTTGACTAAAAAGGGAATTTGAAGAGCCACGTCAAGTTCTAAATAAGACAGAAAGTCTCACATGGCAACAGAGTAAATGATTGCACTATTAATGATGACCATCTGAAGTTAAAAATACAGAAATATGATTTAAAAATAAATAAAATTCTAAGAATGAAGTCAAAATCAGTTCAGATAATTTATTTACAGATACTTTTTTTTCCTAATACAAAAATGACCCCTTATTATGTAAACATTCTTTAAGTATTCTGTGTTTTAAATTTGGACACATTCATTTACTATTTATCTTTGGAGCAAACTGAACTAGGCAGTATCTACTTAGTCCACAGTGTGATCTGATTAGTATACCAGAGCTAGTCTTTGTGTCAAACGAGGGCTGTGTTTTCAAGAAGCTTACAGCTTTATCTTCCTAAAATGGAGCTGTAGCAGTATCTTACTTGCTAATATTATTTCTATTGACACTTGACTCCTTTTCTACTTGGATTCAACAGCTGTTACTATAACCTGAAACTACTCACTTTCTGTGATAAGCCTATTCAGTATAGTAACGGTATTCAAAAGACAGTTATGTCAAAAGAAAAACTACAACTAGTTAAAGCAAGGCATAAAGAGCTTAAGATGGTTATATGAACTTAAGCTCTTAAGTATTTAACACTTAAAGGGTTTTACATTAAAAAATGTTTTCTTTGTTTCATACTGTAAATTTATACAATTCATGATCTCAAAATTTCCTAACATCTCAAATTCTCAAGTCTTCAATACTTTAGAGATAAATTCTGAAAATATAGCTCCATAGGTATAAAATGTTAATGAAATTGCCTTAAACTTGTGATTAACTACAAAAATACTGGTGCTTGCATGCATAAACTATTTTCTTGGAAAGTTCAGAAACATTCATGCATCATCAATTTTTCTTTTCTTAGCCCCTGTCTTCTTACAGTCAGGTTGCTGAAACACATTTGTAGACTTCTTTTGGAAGTTACTCGGACCTTTTTCTTCCATCTTTTTATCAGCTCCTTCAGAATGACAGCTTTCAGGTGATTCAATCTACAAAACAATAACAAACACTGGTAAGAATTCAGCGATTCCATTTTCTCTGGAGATTAATAACCTCATAGTCCTTCTTATAGCAGCTCTTTAATTAAGTGTCCAGTGGTCTGGTTTTTCATCTTCAGATATGAGTGCTGTCTTGGAATAGAAGGGGCTGTGCGGTCAAGACCGTAAAGAACACCTGACGTGTCCTTAGATGCGTTGCTTTTGCAGCTTCAGAGTATTTAGTTTCTAACAGGGGTTTTCAGCCTCTGCCTCACAGCCAGACTTCTCAACTGGTGTAGACCACAGCCAGTGTCGTGAGGGCGGGGATGGCACAAAATCAGACATTAAAACAGTCTTCACATTCCAGAAGGTTGGAAACCCCGAGGTCTCGATTAAAAAGCTGGTCTAAATTCTTCCACTTTATACCTCTACAGAAGACAAAAGGTGTGTTTTCTCTCTTCCCTACCCAGGTTCCAAGAAGAAAACTGACTTCTCTCTTCTTATGTCCCACTGGGCCCAGGAGAGTACTAGTTACAGAAACATCCCATAGGCTTGAAGGTATTTTCTAAATATGTGAAAACTGGAAATGAATAGTTACCCCAAAACAGTTCTGCGTGGCCTTCTTCACTTGCATGGTAATAACATGCGCCTCGTTGTTCAGAAGATTAGCTTTAGGTCCTATTTTCAAATATGAAATGGTAGCATAAGCTGTAAAGCTGTAGTCTTCTCTGCAGAAGATAAAGGCCAACAAACAGGTTTTGAGTAGTTGTAGACAACAAACTGAAATTTGTAAAAAAATAACCATCAGTGCAATAATTTTAAATAGCATTCATGTGAAATAGTAAAGCTTGTACTATTAAAGTGCAATTTGTAGAAAGTATCTTAGTTTTGTGCTTTTTTGACATACAGTGATCAATTTGGCTTGAGTTTTAGGTAAACTTTGTATAGTGTTTAAAAGTTCACACACAACAACCACAAAACCACTTGTTCTGTTGCAATTTTAAAAATGAGAATCAGACATCAAAGGACAAGAAACAGGTCAGCACGTACCTGAGATACTGCTGTATGAGGACGTGCGCGATGATCTTTTCCAGGTCTTCACGAGGCAGTGCGGGAGGGACAACGCCGGCTGCTCTCAATTTTGCTGCCCCCTTCCCCATCCAAGCATCGATCAGTTTCAGCGGTGTGAGCTTTTCATTTAGCTCCTCCGCCTGCTTCAGGATCTTGATGAGATCTCTGCAATATGCTGTTATGTTCTTCCTTTCAAATGCTATAATCAAAGAGAGATGGTTACCAGCAATTGGGATTTTGAAATTAGGGCAAGGATATCGTGTCCTAGGTGGTTAGGCTGGTTTAAAGTGAGCTGCCCACCAATGTGAGCCACCCTGAACTCTGATTTGTTACTGTGTTCTCAACTAAGACTAGGTGATTGCTCAACTCTGTCACTAGACTGTTAAGAGTCTCTAAGACACTATGGGACTTAAGTGATGGAAGGAAAATAGCATGGTTATCAGAAGGCCTTTGGGTATGCCCCAGGGACCAGAGACGGTCAGCCAGACACGACTATGACAAATACTGAGAGATGTTTAGACAGGAGAGTCAGTCTAGTCTTTGTATTTACCTGTTTGTGCTCATTAAGCAGTATTTTGAAAACCAGTGTGGCTTCCTAGAGACAGTGATACAGAGACAAGAATGTCCTGGACAGATACTCTCAGTTCCTGATACTAGCACTCCAATTTACATAACAGATTCTCATTACCTTGGTCACTATAACACAGCCTAAAAAAACACAAATAATGTTCCTGCAAAGTTAAAATTGTAGTGACCTTCCCCCACCGAGGCCTCACAACTCAGGAATGGGTTAGTACAGCTCTTCAAATACAACACACACACAAGATGAAAAAAAATGAAAACACAGCACCAACACACTGCTAAATCAGTGTCTTAAGAGTAATTAGCCATTATACGGGTCAAAAATAATTCTATTTTTGGGGGGAAGGTATAGCTCAAGCGGTCGTGTGCGTGCCTAGCAAGCACGAGGTGCTGGGTTCAATCCCCGGTACCTCCTCTGAAAATTAAATAAATAAATAAACCTGATTACCCCCCCCACAAAAGAAACAAAATAAATAAAAAATTAAAAATAATAATAATTCTATTTTGCACTAAATTTCTCTTCCCAGTCAGTGACTATAAAATATCAGGGATTATCACGAGAGGTTAGAAATAAATTTTTAAGAAATCAAAGAAAAAGTTTAAACCCTTCTGAATAGAAATGCTATTTAATGTGTCCTCAGCATAGCAATATAAAATACATGCATACACATAATAGCTTTTCTTTTTATTTGCCTTTGTTTCAAAATTTTGTGTTGTTACTTTTAAATCTGGGAAACTCTATTCACGCCCTGCTTACCTAAATCCACTGTGGGGTCTAGCACTGCCCTCATGGAGCCCTGGCTATCCACGAGCCTATAAAGATTTACAGAACTATGAACTCACAAATGTCTTTACAGCAGTTATCACACATTTTGTTACACGCTTCTGGGTTCCACACTTCATCAAAATGTTGAGCTATCAAAACACGGCGACATCTGCAGACATGTTAGAGATACAAATTATTAAATGAGCTAACAGAGTCTTAATCCTTACTTCAAAATACAGAGTTATATGTTGCATTAGTTTCCTCCTGCTGCCATAACATTACCACAAACTTGGTGGCTTAAAACAACACGGATTTAGTACCTTAGGCTTCTAGAGGTTAGCAGTCTGGCAGGGGTCTCCCTGGATTTCTTCTGGAGGCTCGAGGAGGGAATGTTTCCTTGCCCTTTCCAAATTCTAGAGACTGCCTGCACTCCCTGGCTCAGGGCCCCTTCCTTCCATCTTCACAGCCAACAGCCCTGGACTGAGTCCTCACGTCACTCTGACCTTTTCTGCCCCCTTCCGCATTTAAGGACCCTCGTGATCACAGTGGGGCCTCCCACACAACCAGGATTTATCTCCCTGTTTTAAGGCCAACTGGTTGCAACCTTAATTCTACTTGTAACCTCAATTCCCTTCTGCCATAGAAGGTAACATACGCACAGGTTCCAGGAATTTGGATGTAGAATGTGGACATCTTTGGGTGATGCTGCCCACCACATATGTACTTGCTTTTAAGCTGCCCGACATTCATTCTGAGATTTGGTTTCTCACGACGACAGAAAGACCTCGTTTTATTGCGCTTCACTTTACTGTGCTTCGCAAAGACAGTATTTTTTACAAATTGAAGGTCTGGTTCAAGCATCTCCTGCAGGTTCATATACTGGTTCCCACCCTTCAGACATCTGCTTTTACTGGTTTGCTCTTGATGTTTCACCAATGTATTTATTCACTTTGGTAAGGACTCAAAGTCACGTCATATGCTTTCATATTGTGCCTGTCTTTAATTGACAAAAGTGATGAAAAGATGTGTGGCTTACTTGCTTATGTTTTGGCAGTAGGACACCATCTCATAAAGCTTCTGTTGTCCCACGTTTTCCATCACCACCATTGAACTTATCCTGAATATATCTCCAAAACCATAGTACAAAATACAGTCTGCTTTCATGTCATCTCGACCTGCAGGGGGAGAAATCTTGAGGTTACATAATCACTTTAGAAATTCAAACATGCAAAAATAATCTACGTAAAATTAGCTGGCAATACTTAATAGTCTAAATAGATCATATCTCGAAATTTCAGAGATGTGAAAGTTAATTTGTAGCAATCTCCCTCAAATTTTTGAAAAAATTAGCTAAAGAGATCTATTAAATCAGCTTTATTCGTTAAAAAAATGTGTCCAAAGTAATCTAGTCATTTAAGTTGTAGACTTGAAACTACTAAAACCTCAGGAGGCAAAGACGGATATCAAATTATCTTAGCAAACATAAGAAATAATTTTGACATTCCAACAGGACATACGTAAAATTTCCCCATAGGCAAATAAATATAAAACTTTGAAAAAGACTTCATTGTTATAAAAATACCAGCCATTAAAGATTAAAAATACAATATTATTAAACATCGTTTACAGTGTTTTTAAAGCTTTAAAAAAATTACTTCTGGATATGAGCTGTACATACCTGCACGTCCACTCTCCTGGTAATAATTTTCCATAGATTTACTCATTGAATGATGAATGACGAACCTCACATCTGGCTTATCAATTCCCATTCCAAATGCAACCGTTGCCACTACCACCTACAGTATTTTAACATTGTATACGTTAATTAAGTTAAAATGTATGTAAAGGTGAATTAGGCTTCTGTTGAAGGTATATTACCTCACCTGAATTTCATTGGCTGACCATCTCCTATGAACGTTGGTCTTATCCTCTGGTTCCATGTTGGCATGGTACGCACCGGCATGAATCCCCAGTTTCTGTAAACTGACTGTAACCTGCTCAGAGTCTTTCTGAGAAAAGCAATAAATGATTCCTGTAGTAAGATATGTCCAACTGTTAGTACATGTCTGGAAGATAATTTTTAACTCATACATGTAAGATATTGATAATTACAAAATGCATGGGGGTAAAAAAGACATGAAAAATCCCAAGGCCCTGAACACACCCTGACTTCTCAGTATGATTCAAGATTTGATCACCAACTTGCTCTACAGCAGACATGAGCCCTGAGCCACCGGTTTGGGGTTCCCACCATCTCTCTTCTTTCTCCAACTTTATCTCCCACTACATAGTATTTCTCAAACTGATGCCCCACGGCTCCACAAGATGTTAACAAATGTGCTGTGAAAAAGAGTTTCACATGCAAATGAGTTTGGGAAACACTGCACTGGACAAAATTAAACAAGTGTCTCTATTTGCTGGGCTGGTCAGAACTTTGAAGGAGCTGATACACCCTGTGACTCTCCAGGAGGAATCAACGGTTTCAGCCTTTCTCAAACTTATTGGACCCTGGACCTCCTTTTACCCAGGGCACCCATTAAGATCTCCTGCAAATCTATAGAACAGTTTGGAAATGCTTCTTTTACACCAACTCTTTGCTTCGGGAACACTTGTCTATGCATTCATCCTGGAACACATGTATACACACTCTCTATTCCATCTATACTTGAACTCATTCAAATAAGTACTACTTATTTCTTTAATGTGTCCTTTCCTATAACGAACTATATTTTATACCCCTTTATGGCTTAACCTCCTTATACACAGTGGATACTTACTAAATATGTGCTGTTGTTAATTAACATTACATCATTACTTCCACTCTTTAATTAAGTGTAAATAAGCAAAAATAAATCAGTTTTATTGCACTTACAACCTATGCCATTAGCAAATGCCACACCCAATTCTTAAGATCACCAAGCAAATTAATTTTATCATGACGTTTTCAAGCATCTTCTGCCATGCATTAATATTTTTTGGTGCTAATCATTTTTCAGTGTATTAGTGTACTATTAGTTACTTTTTGGAAATTCTCTGTCAGTCTTCAAATGTGGTTTGTTTTCATATTACCTGATTGTCCCTTGTATCTTCCATTAATGAGCTTTACAATATCCTCAGTAAAATCTTCAGTGTTTGAGGGCTTCTGCCGAACCTAAAAAAAAAAAAAAAAAGGCTAAATTATTAAAAAGTAAATTAATGAGTACCAACCATGCGGTCATTTACTTACAACTTTCAAGACACCATTCTTTCTTGAGCATAGTGTTTTTTCCTATTACTCTTTCACTCACTCCCCTCATCTGACCGTGTCACCTCTCAGACTCTTCGTGATCCTTATTTTTGAATTTACCAGAAATGAGAAGGCACAGGAGCAGTGAATAACTTGTATAGATGGCGACTTTTTAAAATCTTCTGTTGCTTTTATAAAAACCTAAACCATGGCATAAATCACTATTCAACAAAAACTCCAAAAAATATGAAAAAGATTAGAAAGAAAAAAAAGCTGTGAGGTTATTTAACCTTCCAGTTTATATATCAAATATAATCTAAACAGAGGGTATTAGCAAATCTTTAATGGCATATTAATTTTGCATTATTTCACAATCAGTTTCTATGGAGATGTCCGTAGGGTCCTTGGTATCAATCTATGCATTCTCCCCATCCTTGCACAGGAAAGAAGGTATGCAAATTTAACGATGTCTTCTTCTTAACCTAGCAAAGGATTATGCAGCACAAGAGACACATAAAGAAAGCATTAATAATTAATACATCTGCTTATGATCACCTGATTTTTTAAACTTTTAAATATAATTAACAGTGACTCACATAAAATACACATAACGGAAGGTGAACTTTCTGCTGAAATCCTTCACCACAGTAATAAACTGGCATGAAAGTTACATACCTCGTAATAGAGATTGGGCCGATTAAAAGAAGCTGTAAAAGTAAAACACTTTTCAACACACAGTATCTTCTGAGCATCCTTCAGAACGTGACTTGTCGCAGTTGCGGTCAGCCCAATTAGCGATGCGTTAGGGAACTGCCGCTTCAAGATACCAAGTGCCTTATAATCTGGAAAAATAAAATACAAGATTGCCCTCTTCCTATCCTTGAAGGAGCAAATCACATCTTTTAACACTTCGCAGCCTGTCGAGATGACTGCGATTTTGTTTCCACCGCCATCTACATCTCACCTGCAGTTGCTGCCTGGCCTTTGCGATAGGCGGGCTTTACTTTTCTGTTCTAGTTTTAGTTTTATGGGGGGGGGGTTAATTAGGTTTCTTTCTGTGTTTTTAAATTAATTCTTTTACTTTTTTAGTGGAAGTACTGGGGACTGAACCCAGGACCATGTGCTAAGCATGCACTCTACCACTGACCTATATCCTCCCCACTTTACTTGTAACTGGTTCTTCAGAAATACTATTCTTGGCCACCAGTGGAACTCCTTGTTGATGAGAGGGAATGCCAAAACATCTCCAGGAAGCCATGCACTGGTCTACACCCGTTGAACAGTGGATTCAAGAGGCAGTGGGAGTAGCCATAGTGTTTGAATCTATTTCAAGCGACGAGATAAAAAGGCCATCAGCCGGCACCCTCCCACCACGGGTGTCACCCAAGAGTGACAAACTCAGACCACAAAAGCGTGGTGAGGGCATTGCTTTTCAGATAACCCACTTCAGGGAAACCATTGTGGGCTCACATTTACCATACACATCTAAATTGCTAGGTAAGCTGTCCTTGAGTACACCCTTCAGTGCTTAAACTGTTTGGAGAAAAGAGAAAAAGAAATGTAGTAGAAACTGCTAGTGCTGAAGGAGAGGGCTACTATGAAAATATGGAGGAGAAAGTAACTGCCTGGAAGTTGTGAAAGTTTCAAGGAGAAAACATCTGAACAGCTGGGTCCTAAAGGACTGAGAAGTTTGGCAGGAGGGAAAGAAGAAGAAAACATCCAGCAGAGGAAAAAGCACACACACAGGGGCAAATACACTGGCAGGAAATCGCTCGGCGGGTTCAGGTACCAGCGAGCATTCTAGAGGGGCTAACTCACAGGGCGCCGTGCTGGACGGATCTAGGGTCAACTCCAGGAAGCGGGGAGCTACACTCCCTGTATGGTTTCGAGTTAAGAGCTGGCCCCTAAGGGGGAACTCGGGCAAGGCATGAAGCACGAGGGAAGCAGCTGCCATTCTCTCTGAAGGTCTTTCTGAGCAGCTGGGATGAAGGATGGAGGCCCAGACAGTTCTAGCCTGTCCCAGCTCTGTCCCACTCCTCCAGCCCTTCTTCCCAACTGTAGCCCTCGCCGACCACCTCGATACCTGGCAGCAGACCCCCAGTGGTGAGAGCTACTCAGAAGAAACAGCTAACCAGAGACCTCGCCCAAGCTCCCCTTGCAGGGCGCTCTTGGGCAGTGGCCACGCCAGGTGCAGATTTCCCTCCAAGCACTGGCTGGTCCTCCTGCAGCCGCGCTTCAGAGCTAGTCAGGGGCTTGTGGGTAAATTCCTAGAAACATAAAACCTATCAAAACTGAGTCATGAAGAAAAGGAAAATCTGAACAGACAGACTACTGGTAAGGAGACTAAATCAGTAATCAAAAACCTCTCAACAAACAAAAGTCCAGGCCCAGATAGCTTCACTGGTAAAATTAAAAAAGCAAGTTGTGTTTCTATAAACCAATAACAACTATCAGAGAAGTTAAGAAAACGATCCCATTTACAATTGCATCAAAAAGAGTAACATACCTAGGGATAAATTTTCCCTAGAAGGTGAAATGCCCATACACTGAAAATTGCAGGACACTGATGAGTGAAAGCGAAGAACACACAAATGGAAAGTATTCTGTGCTCGTGAACTGGAAAAATGAATATTGCTCAAATGTCCACACTACCTGGAGCGACCTACAGATTCAGCGCAATCCCTCCCAGAATTCCAATGGCATTTTTCATTGAAATAGAAAAAAAACCCCTAAAATTTATATGGGCCACAAAGACCCCAAATAGCCAAAGCAATCCTGACAAAGAACAAAGCTGGAGGTGTCATGCTGATTTCAAACTATATTACCAAGCTATAGGAATAAGGATAAAAGAGCATACAAGCAAAAGCTATGGCTAAAGTAACAGAATCGAATAGAGAGCCAAGAAATAAACCTACCCATATGCGGTCAATTAATTTACTACAAAGGAGCCAAGAATGTACAATGAGGAAACAATAGTTTCTTCAATAAATGGTGTTAGAAACATTGGACAGCCACAGGCAAAAGAACAAAACTGGACCCTTACCTACACCATCCACAAAAGTCAACTCAAAATGAATAAAGACATGAACATGAGATCTGGAACCATAAAACTAGAGGAAAATATAGGATATGGGCTAAGATCTCTGACATCAGCCTTGGCAATGATTTTTTTGAATCTGAGACTGAAAAGAAGAGCAATAAAAGCAAGAAAAAAAAAAAGTGAGGTTACCTCAAGCTTTAAAGCTTCTGTGCAGCAAAGGAAACCATTAACATAATGAAAGGCAACCTATGGAATGAGGGAAAATATTTGCAAATCACGTATCTGGTAAGAGGCTAATTACTACACAAACTGTATATAAGAACTCATATGACTCAACAACAAAAAAACAAACAATTTGATTAATTTTTAAGATTTTTTTTGCATGGAACAAGTCTGAGTAATCTGTTTCAGGCTATGACTGTAGGATTGTGTTGGAAGAGCAAAGAATAAGGTTACTAAAATCCACCATAAACTGTAGTTGGGTGTCGATCCTGAAGACACCCTGAATGATGAGTAAAGACAACTTGGAAGGAGAAACAAATTCCTCACCAGATGTGAAGGAGAGTCTGGAGGTCAGTACATCTTTACAGCTAAAGATGGGAAGGTACAATACTTGCTAAAAAACACTCATTTCAAGATGTAAAGGCAATTAGACTAATAAACACCACCATGGAGGGGGAGAGGTAAAGAGAGTAAAGACGCTGCTTCTCAGGCTGTCCTTATATTAATGCAAGAAAAAATGAGCAATAATTACCTGAGAGAATAATTTTAATGGAAGCAGGGATTTCCATCATGTAAAGCAGAGTAAGAAAATAGTCTCTCTCTGGCATCAAGGACTTTTCTAGATACAACATGCCTACCTGGTCTGAAATCATGTCCCCATTGACTACAGCAATGAACTTCGTCTACAGCAATTCGGGAGAATCTCCTCGCTTCATAGGCTTTTTCTAGTCTTGACATGAACATCTTGCTTTTTGCAATTTTCTCTGGAGTCACATAAATTAGCTTCAGCTTGGAGCTTTTATTTACCATTTCAGCATGAACCCATTTCACGTGCTCCTGTTGAAAGGGAAAACAGACAACGCGAGTAGAGCGAAGCCAGCAGACTGCGTTGCTAAGCGGTAAGTGGGCACGTTCATTACTCAGAAGCAACAGCCCTGGGCGGTTTTAGCGGTGGACGTTTAGCTCATGGACGTTTAGCTCATTAAAACCAAAAGGACGTTCCAGAACTAAATAAACTTCATGGCAGCTCTGTAAGTAGCATTTTAGTTACTTACATCCAAACTGCTGATAAAAGATTAATCTCATTTGACAAAAGAGAGAAGAAAAAAAAGAATGTGAAGGCACTCCAATAAGCACTTATTCCATGAAGACATAATTCTAAGTTTTTCATAATAAATGCAATAGGTATGGCTATAAAGATGGGTTTCATTAATTTTAACATTATATTTACAATCATTTCATGTATTTGTAAAGAAAACTTATTATTGATAAGCTACTAAAATGATGTTATCAAATCTATTCATAATCTCTAGGTTTTATACAGGATCTTACTGATTAAATTAATATTTTATAATATGAAATACATATATATTATATATATAATAAAAGTAGATCTTAAGAGGTGACAACTATTAGGTTCCTGGTGCTCTGCTATCATCTTCTATAATATTTAGCACATCAGATGTTGTATTTTTCCTTCTAACCTAATTAGGACCAAAAGAAGTGGTGAATATGACAGAAAATCAAAACTGCTTTCATGGTACCAGCAAAATAGTCTGTTAACTCCTCAGGACATTCCTAGTTTTGTTAAGAGATGGCCAAAGTGTATTAAATATTTCAACTAGACCTAAATGTCCCAGAAACCTTAGGGGTGGAAGTGGGGCAAATATAAGGCTATTTCCTCAGAAATCGGCAGGAGCAAACAAAAATATTAGGACCTCTGGCTGAATAAGTGGAGAAGCAAGGGGGAAAAAAGTTGTATTCACATCCTATGAACGATCAGTGAAAGCAATCAGGAAACCCTTTCTCTTTTTGTGTCTGCAACTTTTCAAACGGTAGTGATATCCTACTAACTTGCAACTATCTGCAACTTTCTAACTACAGTTGACCTTGGAATAACTCGGGTTTGAACGGCATGGGTCCACTGACCTGCAGTTTTTTTTCAGTAGTTAATACTACACCACCACATGGTCTTCAGTTGGTTGAATCCGCGAATGTGGAGGGTTGACTATAAGTTATATGAGGATTTCTGACTGTGTGGCGGGTCGGGAGCCCTAACCTTCTTGTTCAAGGCTCAACTGTCCTTTCTAGCATTATTACTCTCTTTTTTAGTTTTAAAGAAGTAAAATATGAGAAGGCAATGTTCTCCACAGACTCACTTTGCTGAAAGAGAAAGCAGTTATCACGACACAAGAGTTTAAATAAAACAAAAATATATGGGGAAAACTAAAGGAACCAGGGCTTCTTAAAGATACAGGTGATGCCAGGTCTGGGAGGAAATACACAAAATGAGTATAGAGTAGCTTATAAAAGAAAGCAAGTAATCAAGAGCAATGAGGTGAAGGAAAAAGATTCAGAAACCAACTTAGACTCTCACTATCCAAAGGTGGGACTATTTCAGCATAAAAAATAACTATGGATGAGACATCAAATATGTTAAAAATCTGTAAGTTTATAACGACACTTGAAAAAAAAAAGGACCTGTTAACCACCTTTGGGGAATGCTAGAAAACCAGCTCTTACTGAAAACTGGTAAAGAAAAGGAAAGAACTTTCAATCTGCGAAGAGTTAATAAGGAAAAAGTTCTTTACAGAAAAATCTAGTTAATATAAATAAGAGGGGTGAGAATTAGAAATCAGCATTTTGTACTCCGCTAATTAAATACTGGCTCCAAGACAGGCAATAGTCATCAGTGGTTGCTAAAACCATTAGGTGAAACCCTGACTGAGAACTCGATCATTACAGAGCGGGCAGACACCACCTCAACCCTGATCGAGCTAACGTCACAAAAAATAACCAGGTGTTATATACGTTCTGAGCGATACCAGGGAAAGTAAGCTCTTGCAAAAAATAAAAAATAAAAATAAAAAAGCCCAAATGCAGCCAAGCTTTCAGATCTAACTAAAAGTTACAAGGTAAACAGTATCAGAAAGCACACAATCAGGAAAAGACAGAATGTTGGAAACTACAGGACAAAATAACTAGTTTCTTCAACAAACAATTTGCATGTGATACAAACAATAAGGGGAACCTGCGGCTATATCAACCAAACCCAACATAATGCATGAATCTTATCTGAACCATGATTGTTTTCAAAAAACATAACATTTGATGAGACAGAAATCTGAATAATTTTATTTGATCGTTTTAAAGAATTAATATTAAATTTTTTAGATGTGATGATGGCATTGTAGTTACCTATTTTAAAACGTTAGAGATACGTACTGAATAAGTTACAACTGAAACGATATGATGTCTGGGATTTATCTCAAATAAACAAACCAAGGAGGGGTGCGGAGGGAAACTGAGGATTATAGATGGAAAAAGATTGGCTGTACGTCAATAACTGTCAAAGGTACTTAATGGGTACATGGCAGTTTTTGAACTACTCTCTCTACTTTCATATATTTCTAAAAATTTCAATAATATGTTTTTTAAAAAAGAAAACCTGGGAAATGCTTTATTCTACAGATGAAGGTAAGAGAGTCCGTTCCCAAGAAATTCCACAGGGGTTGGGTATCTTGTTACTAATTCATTTTTTGTATTTAATTATATTGCATAATCAGAAATTCTTGCTTACTACTTTAGAATCAATACTATAAAACAGGTCAGCAAATGTTTCCTCTAAAAGTGCCAGACAGTAAACATTAGCTTTTGTGGTCCACATGGTCTAATTGCAACTACTCAGCTCTGCCAATACAGTGTGAGAACAGTCGTAGACAACACGTAAGAGAACCAGCACGGTTCTGCTCCAATAAACCTTAATTTATATACACTGAAATTTGAATTCCATATAGTTTTCACACTTCACAAAATATTATTCTTCTTTTGATTTTGTTTAACCATTTAATTTCATTCTTTTACATGTAGCTGTCCAGTTTTCCCAGCATCCCTTACTGAAGAGACTGTCTTTTCCACATTGTATATTCTTGCCTCCTTTGTTGTAGATGAACTGACCACAGTGCATGGGTTTATTTCTGGACTTTCTATCCTGTTCCATTGAGCTATGTGTCTGTTTTTGTGCCAGTACCATACTGTCCTGATTACTGTAGCTTGGTAGTATAGTCTGAAGTCAGGGGGCATGATTCCACCTGTAGATCCATTCTTCTTTCTCAAGATTGTTTTGGGTCTTTTGTGTTTCCATACAAATTTTAAAAAGTTTTGTTCCAGTTCTGTTAAAAATGTCATTGGGAATTTGATAGAGATTGCACTGAATCTGTATATTGCCTTGGGTAGCATGGCCATGTCTAACCATTTAAAAATATAAAAACTAATCTTAGCTCACAGACGATACAAAATAGGCAATGGGCTAGAACTGGCCTATGAGCAGTAATTTTAGACTCTAACATAAACAGTTATCAGTTTTTAATGATCAACTCTATTGTAGATAAGGCTCTTACTTCAGTGAAGAGTTAAATAAAATAAAATAAAAGCCACAGAAGCATACCTTAGAACTAGAAGCATTTAACATGGTAGCTGAAATTCCTAATTGTTTCAAAACCATTAACTGGTCTTCCATAAGGGAGATCAATGGGCAAATCACGAGTGTAAAACCTAAAAGAAAAAGAAATTGACTTTAAATTTTACACCACCACCGGAATGAGTTACAACCACGTACCTTCTTTACTATAACTTGGAGCCCCACCACCAATTCAGACTGATTTTCAATGCAGTCTTAGCAATATACCACCTATTTCTTATCCTCATTAATAAAGGAGGTAGGTATGAATAAATGATCATTAGCCAAATAAGATATAAGAATAAACAGAAATCTCTCACCTTATCCAGCCCTGTAAAAATAAAGATAAAAATCATTTTGAAGTTTGAATTTACTATTTTTTTTACCAGTTTTAGTAATCTCAGTAAAATGATGTAAATCAAGTCAAATACCACCCAGTAACATTAGGAAAAAGTTATTTCAAAGCTTTCCAAAGAAACCATAACAACCTATATAACCCAGAATGAGAGTTAACATGATTATTTTTAACATGCACTTACTGCATCAGATTAATTTATTCTGAGCAGAAATCAGTGAACAGTTTATTGCCTGACTCAAGTTCTGAGAACACCATGCTCTATGGACTCTCCTGCACTTTGCTACTCCTTCTCAGCCTTCTCCACAAGGCCCTCCCTCTCTGTTTATCCCTAAACTCTTGGTATTCTGGTTTTTGTTCTGGGCCCTCTTCCTTCTCATGCTGCTCTGGATGATATAACTCACTTCAATGGCCACCTCCTCACTAAGAACATCCAACTCAGCTACCTCGGATCTCTCAGATCCAAGCTTTATACAAACATCCTACTCAAAGGACAATTCTACCTGGGTATCTTGCAGCCATCATAAATTCAACATGCCCCAACTTATCACCTTCCTCCTCTCTCTATTCTCAAAAAAGTTCTTTCCCCAACGTACCCTATTCACTGACCTGTGTCACCATCTGTCTCAGCCTCAAATCTGGGCCCGATTCTAGACTCTCTCTTCTTCCAGCTCTCTATCCAATGACTACCTCCTCAATATTCTGGAATTCCTAGAATTGTCTAGAATTATACTTCTAAATCACAAAGCTAATTTTAAGCCTCTTACCTGTTTAAAACCCTACAATGGCTTCCCACTAATGTAAGAAGTTTTAAAAATATCTTTAAAGGAGGGAAGGTATAGCTAAGAGGTAGAGCACATGCTTAGCATGCATGAGGTCCTGGGTTTGATCCCCAGTATCTCTATTAAATAAATAACTAAATAGACTGAAATTACCTCCCCCTTCCAAAAAAATAAAAGAAAAGAAACAAAAAGTCTTTAGACTCTTTCTGCACATCTTGCCCCTCACTGCCCGCCACGCTAAAATTCTTCCAGGCTGTTGACTGCACCACATCACGCACATTCTGTTACTTTCGGGCTCTCACAAATACTGCTCCCCTGCATGAATGAATATTCTTCTCCACCCCACCCACAAATCCTTTTCTTGCCTACTTACCCTTTAGCTTTTAGCTCAAATGCCAATTCCTCAGGACAGCCTCCCCTCACAGCCCCGAGACCAGACAGATCTTTGCACTGACTTAATTCTCTACTAAAACATTGATCACAAAACTTGTATTACAATTGCTTGACATAATCTGTATTCTCTAGACCAGGGGTCAACAAATTGAGGTTTAGTTGCTTGTTTTTGTAAATAAAGTTTCACTGGAACACTGCCACATCCATTCCTTTAACCTACTGTCTCTGGCCGCTCTCATGCTACAATGGCAGCTCTGTAGTTGGTAAGAGACTTCATGAGCCAGAGAGCCTGTAACGTTACTGACCAGCTCTTCAGGGAGGAGTTTGCTGATCCCGGCTCTGTATCCTTGGAAGTGCCCACAACAGCAGCATCAGAGAGCCCGTGAGAAGCGCAAGCTCTCGGTCTCACACTAATTCTGCAGCTGCATGTTGACTGGATCACTGGGTGAGCCTTAGATACACTGAAGGCTGAGAAAGCACCACTTTACATGTGAGCTCTGTGAAAACGAGGCCCACGCCCATCTGCTGATTACAGTGTCCCAAGCCCTAACACCACAGCAGACACTCCACAAAGTCCCGGGACGAGGCTCCTGGCCTACAGATTCCTTTTCTAGTGCTTTTTCTCCTACAACATGTCTTTTAATTATGCTTCAGGAACCAGATGTAAGAATGAACTACGCTCAGAGTCTTTAACATTCCCTCTTTATATGAACCCTTGAAATGTCTCTTCGTGGAGAGCTAAATCAGCCAGAAATGCACAAATGTACGGTTAGAAATTTTTTTAAAGACTTAAACATATATTAAGAGAAATAATGTTTCTTCAACTTAAAATGAATGCTCATTAAAACACACCATCTGAACATAACGCTGGTAACTGGTAGCACAGACTTTTCCCGCCTCCTGTCGGCATCACAAGAAATACCTCCTTTCCAGACATGGTTGCGTTAATCGTTTCAAGCTGAAGTGGCCTGAACTTCTGCAGTTTAAAGACATTTTGCAGAACATCTTTAACTTTACCAGACCACGGAAAATCTAGGGAGAGAAAAACAAGCGAAACAGATTAGAACTATTTAGGATTCTAAATGAGACACAAGGGTGAATGGCTGTTTTTGTAACAGAGAAGAATCAGATTAACATTGGTAAGACTTCTAATACTATGGGCAATTCAACTTTTATAATAATAATTTTGAGGTCAGCTGAACTCACTAGGCTAAGCAAAATCAAATTTAATGATCTATCATAAGAAAAAGTACATCAGAAGAAAATGAAAATATTTGCCAGCTGAGAAATCACCTACACAGAGGAGAAAGGTGCTTGGTCAGGTACTTGAAAAACAGTCTGAATGTTGATCAGGGAATTCCTGGTGTCCCAGAAAACTCAAATGTCACAAACAAAGTTAACGATTATCTGGAATTTTGCGTGTCAATATCTTGTTTAAAAGTGAATCACTGGAGAAGCGAGGTGGGGATAGCTCAGTGGCAGAGCATGTGGTTAGTATGCACGAGGTCCTGTGTTCAATCCGCAGTACCCCCATAAAAAAAAAAATCTCTGTGGATAAAAGTGAATCACTAGCAAATAAAGCTCATAATGCACTGCAATTCTGCCAAGAGCTCTAGTATTTCACGGTTAATGATACACAGGATGCTTGGCAAGATCTTGAATCAAGAAAGGTTTGTTCACAAGGGCAGGAGAATGAACAAGACTTTGATGAGGAGTTTGAATTTCTTTCGTTTAATTTCTTTCTAGTTAAAACTTAGAAAATTGAGTCAAATAAAAATCTTGTTAATCTGATTGATGTTGCTAGAACCATATTTGGGCCAAAGAATAAAGTCTGAATAATAAAAGCTTCATTTAAAAAGAACATGGGTAAAAACCAGTCTGCCTCCAAGTTGCCCCACCACATAAGGAGCAGCTAGTTTCACCACTAAGCCGCCTGTAAAGTACTGACCCAAGCACAGTGATTTAACTCCAGTTTAAAGAAAGGAGATGAACAAAGATCACAAGGGGGGAAAGAAAAAAAATAGAGCAAACCTTCTTTATTCCAAGAAGCAGGTGAAGAATCACACGCACTGCTTTCCCCGGAGTCAGAATTCTCTAAACACTGGTTTATTCTCTTTGTTAGGACGTTTTTTTTCTGAATCAACTCCTGTTGCCTTTCTAGAAGTTCTTGAATTTGAATGTCTACTGCATGTAGCTCATTGGTTATAGCATCCAATTCCTCACTTAGAGCTAAGGAGAAGGAAAAAAGATACAATGACTAGACAGAGTTAATTACAAGTTTAGGCTACCCTACTATTGATTTTTTGATAGTCCTCACCATCGAAAATTATAGAAAACTTACCGTAGTATATAGCAGAGTGGTTAAGAGCATGTGTTTTAGAGCCACAAAGACCTGAGTTAAATCTTCCTCTTACCTGCAGAGTGACCTCAGGCTAAGAGTGTTCCCATCTGCAAAATGGGGATATTACCTGGCTTTCCTAGCATTGCTATGAAAAATTAAGTGAGATAACATATTGAAAGTTCTTAACACGGTACCTGGTACACAGTTTAGCAGTTAATAAATAATAATTATTCTTCTTTATTATGCTATAGGGCAGTGGTCCAATCCAATCATCTCCTAAATCATTTCAGTAAAATGACCAGAATTTGAAGCAAAAGGAAGTTATTTAAAAGTAATCCCCTAACTACTTGGCTATTATTTCATAAAAACATTTCAGATTTGGGTTCGTATGGTGGCGTGGTAAGGAGTCTGTGATTATAAACAAGATGGTATCATAGTAAAAAGAGAAATCAAGTGTGCTGCTGGCACTGGCATTACAACGCCAGCACACTAATTGATAAAGAAGCCTTAACGTATGATTCTAATCAATTTGAGTATTAAAATCAAAATGAGATTTCTTTTGACACCACTTTAGTGGCAGCTGGAAAAATTTTAAAGATGTTCTTGGTGCTTTTTAACAGTGTCCAGTTCTAATGTCTTTTCATGAGATGAAATCTTACAGTTGCAATTTAAAATAGGATGCTGTGGTGGCTTTGAATTAGGGATTAGTCTCTGCACGGTCATGGGACCTGGTGAAGCAGTCCCCTGCTGGTCCTGAAGTCAGAAGTGCCCACCACCTCTCAATGCTTCAAGACCCAGGAAGCCCTAGAGGATGAGGTACAAAACTGCGACCCACGAGAAGACATGAAACACACCAAAAGAGTTGCATTTGCCAATATCTATCACCAGAAACTAGAGGACATACATGGGAACAGGTCGTAAGGCTACTAAATCAAGGTGGACAGAATACAATATTGAATGAAGCCAAATTCACTGGTGTGGATTCAATAAAAAAATCCCAATTTAACATGCTAAATATAGTGGCCAGGAGTGGCTCTAATAATTTACTTAGCTGGTCCAAAGACGAATATCAAAAAGTTGGGATGGGACGATACAAGTATAGATTCCAATGGAGTCAAAAGGCTAGAACCTCCTGGGTATACTCTAGAGGAGGGGGTCGTGAGGCTTAGGGAGATGGAAGTGCACGTGGATTGATCATCCGACCTCTGACTGACCCCCAGGAAGATCTGGGGGACCCTCCCTTCACCAAGGCTGTGATGAATGCATTTATGGGGTATCCCCAGCATCCCTGACGAGCTCTAGAGTGGCTGTTCTCCGTAAGCCAGGAACGACAGTAGAAGTACCGCCTTTGAACTAGACTACTTGAATCAACGAGAATGACGGATTCCAAGGTATGGGGACTAAATGCTGGCAGTTCAATTCATGGCCAAAGGAGAGGCAGAAGAGGTTACGTAACAGAGCAGAAGCAGTAATCAGAATAGCCTGATCCACAGAGATCTTTGGTACTGGCCAGTTGATCCTGGTGTCTGAAATGGAAACAGATTACTAGATTTGTACAGGCAGAATACAAAGGCCTGATTCTGGTAAACACAGGTCTGATTTGAATCACCACCACAGAATCAGAGATCTTCAACCAGGTCCCAGAAGGCAGCCAATTCATAGACCCAGAGTCCCTTGAATAAAGTGTAGGCTGGGGCCCTTTGAAAAAGAACTCTTCTACACAGCTAAAATTGTATGCAGTAAATCTTTCCTGCATGAGAGAAACTTACCAAGGTAAACCGTGTATTGGGAAAAGAGAAAATAACTTCTCAGAAATCACTAGACATCAACTGTGAACTGGTAATTCCCGGAGGACTGAAACACCATGGTGAGGCACCAATCAGAGTATGCACTGGACTTAGGCAAGGCAGGTGATCAGCGCAGTTGTGCTCAGGCCCGTCACACAGTGGGCGAGGAGGTCCTCTAACCGCTCTGCGGTTACTTCCTCAGTTCCAGATACATGAGGGCAAATACATTCAGTAACTGATCAAGTTTGCACATTGGTCTCCTGGCGCCTAAGTAAGGACTGTTACGGTTGGAAAGACCAAGTGGAAGCAGTGTAACTGTGCTTCCCTGCCAAAACAGTGAAGAGTGCTGTTCCTCCCATAGCCAGGATTCAAGGGCCTGGGAAACAGGGGTGAAAATGGGAGTGGCTTCTCTTACTATTACCCTCTAGTGATCCACCAGTGAAATCTCTGCTTCCCATCCCTGAAACTTTGGACTCTGCTGGTCTAGAGGTCTCAGTTGGCAAGGAAGAACTGCTTCTACCAGGGAAGAAGCAACCATTTCATCAACTGGAAGTTGACTACCACTTGGCCACTTTGGGTTCTTCATGCCAGTGAATCAAAAGCCAAGAAGGGGGTTACTGGAGTGGCTGGGGTGGGTGAGCCTGACTATTAAAGGGAATGAATTGCTATGACACCAAAGAGGTAAGAAGGAATACATATAGAATATAAGGGATCCTTTAGGGTCCCTTTTGGTATTCCCATGTCCTCTGATTAAAGTTAATGGAACAAAGTTATAAGTTATAAAGCAACAAATTGTACAACCTAGAAGAAATGGACAAGTTTCTAGAAATATACAGTCCACCAAAACTGAATCAAGAAGAAACAGATAATCTGAACAGACCAATCACTAGAAGTGAAATAGAATCAGTAATTTAAAAAAAAACAAAACACAAAACCCAAAAAACCTCCCTGCAAGCAAAAGCCCAGGACTGGATGGCTTCATTGGGGAATTCTACCAAACATACACAGAACTTACACTGATCCTTCTCAAACTCCTTCAAAAGACTAAAGAAGAGGGAACACTCCCAAACTCATTCTAGGAAAGACCATCACCCTGATACTGAAATCAGACAAAGACACTACCAAAAAAGAAAATTACAGGCCAATATCTTTGATGAACATAGATGCAAAAATTCTCAACAAAATGTTAGCAAACCAAATCCAACAACACATAAAAAAGATCATACAGTATGATCAAGTTGGATTCATCCCCAGGACACAAGGATGATTCCACATATGCAAATCAATCAACGTGATACACCACAATACCAAAGGATAAAAATCACATGATCATCTAACCCATGTTTATTTGACAATGGCTATATTCTGTATCTACATTATGTCCTTAAAAATCACATTTTAAAACTCACAAAATAATATGTATGAAATATAATAAATTTTGTTGAAAAATAATACATCTGAATGTTACACTATTAATCTGAGTAATGAAATTACATGTGATTTATATTCTCTACTTGATAATTGCTTAGGTTCCTAAAATTCTATCAAAAAGCATATCAGTCAGCATTGCTGCTGGGAATGTAAGATGGTACAGCCACTATGGAAAACAGCAGGGAGGTTCCTCAGAAAATTAAACATGGAAACATCATGTGATCCAGCAATTCCACCTGTTGGTATACATCCCCAAAAACTGAACGCAGAGGCTCAGGTAAATATTTGTACACCAATGTTCATAGCTATGTTATTATTCACAAAAGCCAAAAAGTGAAATAACCCAAATGTGCACCGACAGACAAATGGATAAACTGAAGGCGGTATATACACGCAATGGAACATTACTCAGCCTTAAAAAGATACTCATTACAAAATGGATGAATCTCAAAGACAAGCTTAAGGGAAATAAACCAGACACAAAAGGACAAATATTGCATGATTCCACTCATTTGAGGCACAGAGAATGATCAAATTCACAGAGACAGAAAGCAGAATAGTGTTACCAGGGGTTGCAGGAATCGGGGAATAGGAGTTATTGTTTGATGGATACAGAGTTTCAGTTTGGAGTGATGAAAAAGTTCCAGAGATGGGTAACAGTGATGCATGCACGACAATGCAAAATGCACGTAATGTCACAGAATTCTATGCTTAAAAGTAGTTAAAATGGTAAATTCTGTTGAATATTTTAGCACAAAAAATCTGAAAAAACATCCTTTCCAGAAACAGAATTTTTAAAGCAAATATTTTTAAAATTTGCTTTTATTAAGATTTTTTTAAGGAGCAGTTCAAGGTTCACAGCAGAACTGATGGGAAGGTAAAGAGAAAAACAAAATTATTTTCAAAGAACATGCAATTAGAAACAGAACAGAATGAACTACAAAATGTAATCATTTCCACTAACCTGAAATGGATGCCATTCTAAAACTGAATTGGAGAGCCAAATTTCTTTCTAAAAATGAAAGAAAAGTCATAGCAACAATTAAAAAAAAACAAACAGTACCGTTGATAATGCGCAATGATAATCTGTTGTTACTAAGCATGGAAAATATTAGAAAGTAAATTATAAATGCATTGACCTTTCAGTAAGGACTACAAGGTTTTTTCCACTCCTAATTTTTATGGAAAATTCTCTAGATTTCAGAGAAGTGTCCAAAGTCACATAAACGTATAATAACAAGTACAAAGTCAAGAACACTTAATAAACATTCACCAGATACAAAGTTATATTGCAAAAAGCTTTGAGGTTTAACAGTTTTAGCATTGAATTACTGTGTGATCTTAGCAAAGTTAAACAACCTGTTCAACTAAGCCCCTTTCCCTATCTGCTAAATTGGGTTGGTAGTAGCTATCTTACAAATAACAGGTTGGATAGATTCAAATATCCCAGATGAAGCAAAACCCATCAACACAATACTCAGATCTGGGGGAGGGGGGGATGGTATAGCTCAGGGATAAGAGTACGTTATGAGCATACAAAAGGTTCTGGGTTCAATCCCCAGTACCTCCATTAAAAAATAAATAAATCTAATTACCTCCCCTCAAAACAAGCCAAAAATCTTTAATTAAAAAAAAACAGAAAAATAAAATTAAAAAAATAATCAAATTAATCATTTAACATTTTACTGAGAATTAAAGAGTTACAATTTAGGCACAATCCTAACAAAGGAATCAGTATCATTGGAGGGGTGAGATTTCAGGAGAGAACGTGAAAGGTGGGGGGAAAACCCGGTTTGTATTAAGGAGTTCGAAATATTTCTGCATGACTCAAACTTAAGAGTACACATGAACAAGCGGAAGGAGATGAGGCTCAAGAGTAGGAACTTTATTTAGATTGTCCACACTCTCCAAGAACACTTCCCCAACTCTGGCATGAACAAGTCACATTTTCTAAAACTAACTTAAAATGTTCTCCAAAGGTAGCTTCAACATCACCCTACCCTATCCTTACTCAGACTGCTGACCTTATGCCCTTCCTCACGTAGAATCTGGAAGCCACCAATAGGCTGGAAAAATAGGTAGGGTCGTCTTTGCCTTGCTAGAAGTTTGGAATAGACACACCACTAGAAGATATTAAGCAGGGGAGTAAACAAAGGACTTGTAATTCTTTATTTATATGAATAGGCCTTCACCATTTGGTGGAAAAATAATTCTCCAGGAGGGCAGGGATTGAGTCTCTTCACCCTTGTTCCCACCCAGCCTAGCAAAGTGCCCTGCATTCAGCGCAGGCTCAGGTGTGCCCCAGATTGAGAACAGAGGCTCCCTCTATCATATGAAAGAATGTAATCTACAACCATTTCCTCCCGCCCCGACTATTTCAAACAACTCCTTTGATTATACCGTTAAAAAAAAAAACTGCTCATGAACTCCTTCCCCAAATGATGTGATTTAATAGCAAAAGCTATCTGAACATAAAATGTGTTCAAAAATTAATAAGCTATATTTAGCAGGTCTGTCAGAAGTATACCTAGGCACAGTTAAAATCAAAAACAAACGAAGACCAGCCTTGAAAAGTCCGTTGGCAGACAAAACCAGCACAGTCATACAAACAAAGCTTAATTTAGCTTGTCTTGAAAGATTAACTTGACCTGGGGCATTTCTTTTTTATGTCTCTGGAAATCAAAACTTAAACTGTTTCCCAAGGTTGATATGCGATAACCACTAACCAATTTCCTATCGTTTAAGAAAATCCTAATATTATAACCAATCCGGGTGAAGAATAAACAGTCACTGCCCTCTTACTAAATAAGCTGCTTTATGACAATATAGCCCTTAGCCTCATTCCATGTTTTGATGTTCTGATTTGAGTGCTCTCGACTGGCGAGCTGTCTTTTTAAAAATCTCCCTCCCCCTCTCTCCCTCTCCCTCCCTCTCTC